AGATCAGAGCTTTCAAATCACACATCACGTATAAACCACTTTTTTCTCTGACGATAAATCGAGAGCACACCTGATATTTCCTGCAGAATATTTTGTTTTCTTTGGGTCATTTTTGTTACACGACTGAAATCAAAATCGTAGTTGGGAAAGTGTGAGATGTGATGTTTCTATTATAAGAGGCTCAGTTTGACGATATTCATAATTCGGTCTATATGTTCCTGCACTTAAAAAAAAGAAAGTAGAATTAGCTCAGCTCTAAAGTTTCAAAGTGTAAAGCATTTGTCTTTTCTTTTTTCTATATGCTCTTTTTTTGTCTCACAGTTTTCAGGCACAGTGAATGTCTTAACTGATCCCCTGTTGTACATAAATGCGATGCTTTGCGAAGCGTGAGAAAATTAGTTCCAGAGCAAATTAGGGAGGAAGCCTACAGGGGATAATATTGTTGGTTTTTTATGGAAAAACTTCGAAGTTCTGGACTTGGTCGACCGAGCACAAAGGGTTTTATTTATTTGATTGTTAAAGAATTGTTTTGTTTTCCCAGTGCTGATGTTGCGTGCTATATGTTGGTAATAAATTAGCGTGAAAAAAGAGATAAAAACTTTTTTCCTCTGGAGTTTTTTCAGCGCACACAATGAAGATACGGCTGACAGGATAAATCTGTTGTTTGTCAGTGACGGAAACTTTTTCCCTTTTCTTGTCCCCTTCAAACAGCTGATCATTTTCACTCCTAAATCTCTGCTCAGGCATCCGGACGCAAGGTCAGGTTTTGATGACCTTGCCAAAGGTAGAGCTTTACCTTTAAGCGTGACATAACTTTTAATGTTTTATGTGTGTATTTATTTGCATTTATTACTAATGTTCAATATGCATTATGTTTGCAGGCACTAAATTTAAGAGACTGATTCCTGATGAGGGCCCTGCAAGTCAAAGCCCAGGCCAAGTAAAGAGGGTTATCTTCTGCGCAGGCAAAGTCTACTATGAACTAGCTAAGGAGAGGAAGCAGCAGAATTTGGACAGAGATGTTGCCATAATCAGGCTTGAACAGGTTTTTAGTTCTTCTTCTCTGATTTTAAAATGAGACTGACACTGTGTGGTCATTTCTTCATCGGTCATTTTTTGGTCTCCAACTCTCAGATCTCTCCTTTCCCGTTTGACCTGGTCAGTGAAGAGGTGGAGAAATACGCCAACGCTGAGCTCATCTGGTGTCAGGAGGAGCACAAGAACATGGGTTACTATGATTATGTCCGACCCTGCTTCCTCACAGTGGTTGCCAACAAGAAACCCATTTGGTAAGAATGTTTATTTATCATCTCACTTCTAGTTAGAGAACTAGCCAAAGCATTTGAGCTCTTGTTGCAGGTGATAAACCTTACGTGTTTGTTTCAGGTATGTGGGACGAGATCCTGCGGCTGCACCGGCGACAGGAAACAAATCTACTCACCTCAATGAGCTGAGGAAGTTTATGGACACTGCTTTCAACATGAGCTCCTTCCAAGACTGAAACTTGTAAAGGAGAAGGTCATTTCATTGTTTTGATGTGGCTTAGTCTTAGGTTGAGGGTCATTAAAAACCTATCTCTACACAATTGTTTAAGAATAAAAAGTTCCTTATGAACATTAAGCATAAGCACTAAGCCACAGAATGGTCAATCCTGCATCTTCTGTTGTGTGGTAGAGTGTAGTACACCAGTATTGTTCACACAGCCACGCAGAACTGTGACAATCATTATTGGAGTGGTTTTACTACTTCAAATATTCTTTTGCTGTTATGCTGAATACTGCTAAATAACTATTTTGATATTTATTTTGATTGTAGCTATGAAACACACCCAAAACCCCCCAGAGGTACACTTTAACAATAACTATGAATCGCATGTCACAGGTATGAAAACTGTGCTGAAACTTAACACATCAGTAGATTTTATAGCCTGTTATTGTTTGGCTACCTTAGCTGTTTGTGAAGGAGTGTGTATTTATTGTCACACATCACTTCACCAGGAGACATGAGCCAGCTGGCACAGAGACTTGCAGCCATGTTTTCTACTTAGGACATAAGGCTCAGCTTTTTCTTCTGAAGCGCTGGGACACGCACACACATAAACAAAGAACAGCCTTGGATGCTCAGAGAGCAATATTGATGCATGGTTGTCACATTAAAATCCCCAGATATCAAACACAAATGATATTAGAAAAGCTCCTTAAAATTATACTTCTTGTCTAGCTGCGCTGTAGTTTACCTTTCCAACGTAGAGCTGGGAGATTTAACCAGTAATGCGGAAACATAGTTTTGCATATTTAGTGATTTAAAAGAGGTTTATACATGACTGTTTAGTAAATAGGGAAAGAGCCACATATTCATGTGGGAGCTGAAATATGTGCTCAACATGATATAACTGCACCTACAGGGAATAATTTGAATATGCAATAAATATGTTTTAATAAATGAATGACCTGGCATACATACAACAGTTTGAACTGATGAGTAAAGTTACAGGTCATCTGATAATCTATGATGGGTTGAAATAGGATTTTGCTCACTGACACAAATGATTTAATGATCCTAGAGCTATTTTGTAATTGTTTTCAGATTTTGTGTGTCCTTAATTTTCTATTATTTCCATAAATGTGTCTTTAAAAATATGTGGGCTGTCCTGTCATGTGAACCAAATATAGATGAACGCAATATCAAGCAGTGGCATGGAGGTTTTAATTAAAATGTAGGCTTTATATCACTGAAACTCTGCCTATCTTAGTGATTTAAATTCTTATGCAAATCTGTAATTAAAGAAATTACAATGGAATTTCGATCGAAGCCACAAAATTCTAATGGATTATGGCCATAAACCCAAAATGTTTTGTCTATACCCAAATCTAAGGAAGAGTCCAAAGAGATTGTTAGTGAGGTAAAGGTCAGGAGGAACATGTCGGGTGACCTTTTTTTTT